AAAGAATAAACATCGATATCGACTTAATATTTAAAAAATTTCAGTGAAAGTTTTATTTTAAAGTGTATTTGAGTTATCACCTGTTAACATAATTATTTTTAATTAGACGTAAATTTAATGATACAAAAAATTTTGTAATAATCTTTCTTTTATCAATTTCCTAATATAAAAAGATTACAAAAATTTTAATATAGGGGAGTTTATAACTAAAATCTAATGTAAACATTTAATTTGTCAATATTTAATTTGTCAATCTAAAATAGAAATTCAAACGATGAAAATTCTACAAAATGATAGAATAACCTATTTATATCAATATACAAAAAATATTCAAATTTACATGCGACAAATAGAAACAACCAATTAAACTGTTAAAAAAACATAAAATTAGTAGTCAAAAATGAAAATAATTGCAACGAAGCAAAGATTTGATTACGTACTGCCAATTTATAATCAAGCGACACGGTAGAGCAGCGCGATGCCAAGTATATAAATAAAAGATCGATCGTGTTACGTGAACATTACTATATAAATGTTGTGGCGCTACTACGTTCATCCAGAATTTGTGATTTATGTCAATAAGTTTTTATTATAATATCTCAGAAATTGTCATAAAATATCTAATGGTAATTTTATCACATAATATTGCAAGCTTTTAATGAGTTTGATTAAAATCGATATATTTAAGATTTCAGGTCTCTTATGCGAAAAAAATCATTGCTTTATTTTGCAAGTATCGGACTTGTATGTACAGCCAGGGCCTAAAAGCTTGCAATACTTTTTTTAAATGGATTTTGGAATGCTGTCTGATTACTGAGGTATTACTTGATTATTACTTATGGATCCATAAGTAAAATTAATCGCTCCGTGAACAGGTAGTATTTCAAAACTCATTGAAAAAAAAATGTGTTGTAACCTTTTAGCCTGATTGTACATACATACATACGAGGTAAAGTTAGATTGTCATTCAAGAGGCTTTTGCAATTTTATAATGACATACATATTTGAAATTTGCAATAAGAAAATTACAAATCTGAATATTAACGCTATATCTACAGCAAAGATATTTGTTAACGTGAATATGTTTAAAAAATACAGTTTTCGACATAGTAAAAATATAATTATGGACATTATATTATACATATATTTAGATGGTACGTACCAAGGGCGTACAATGTGTATTAATAAGTGAATTAAATATAGATAAACGCGTAATTAGCCTTGAAATGTTAAAAATGCATTCGTATTCTTTGCAAGAGCAAATAAAATACAATGTATTTGTAAAAAGTGATACATACGTATATACGGTAAAGTTGCCGGCTCTTAAATCGCACTACCTTGCTTAACAATTCAATTATTATATTTATATACTTTCTTACGGATTATTTAAGAACTACGTGATACTGTAATGTTACTCTGTTATATATTCGTGATATGCAACAGGAGTGTTGTTATTTACATAAATAAAAAATCATAATAGCGTTGCTATTTTCAACATACCTATATCATAGCAGAAATACAGAAAATATAAGTTAAATAGCCTAAGTCTTGATTAGAATATTATTAAACCAATAGTTTCCTAAATTGCACCATAATATAATTTCCTAAATTGCGGCACAATCTAATTTCTTAAATTGCATATTACCTAATATTTTTCTATTTCTTACATTTTTATTCCATTCATTATATTGTAAATCTACGAAGTATTTATTTTGTTTCACATATAAATTCCTTAAATTACTTTTTAAAATTATCATATGTTTCAGAAATTATGAAAAATATTCTTAAGTTTTTAACAGCATAATAAAATACAATATTTTTTCCTTTTCTTATATAATTTTTAAATTTTTTGCATTATCATAATGTTTTAAATGAAGACTATTGGTATAGTGCGATTTTTTTTGGACAACGAATTTCCTCGTTGCCAAAATTGCATCATAAAAATTGCATGATGAAATCCTCATTATAAACATTATAATAACGCAAAAAAATTATGAAAAAATTACGTAAAAAAGGGAAAAGATTACAGTTTATTGTGCTGTAAAAAAACTAAAGAATACTCTTCATAATTTCTGTGTTATGAACTTTTAAATAAATGGTACTATTTCGCGGCAATCTTACCGTACGTATTTATAAAAGTATATATATACATACAATAAAATTTATAAAATTAAAGAAGAAAGCAATATTCACTAATTTCTACAAAAAAAAGAAGTAAAATCCTATTAAAAAAACTTTAAGGATAAAAAAGGGCATGCCAAATACATAAATGCATCCAAAGAATATAGTGAAAATTAGAGAAACTTATCTTCACTCAAACATTAACTGTTCTCAAAAATAAGTATGAGATTAATACGATTAGCTAAGTATATTATTACAAAAAAATAATCTTGAAAACCTATTAAATCATATAAAAACCTATTGAAAAATTATTTGTAAAAAAGGATATATAGTAGTGCAATTGTATACAAAAAACGTTTAATGTATTTAAAAGTATGTGCTGTTAAAGTTTAACATACTTATTGCAAATTATTGCTTTTTATGCAAATTTTAAGTTGCACAAAATGGGTAGTGATTAAAATAATTAACAAAATTATTGCAAAGCAAAAACATGGCATATTATATTAATTACAACTTTGTAAACATAATATCAACTAATGTATTGTCTTAGATACAATAGAGATATAATAGAAATATAATGATACCTTTTTTCTTTAATGTTTCGTTAGTTAACATTCTATCACTTTTCATATTTTATAACAGGTATTAAAATATTATATTTTTTAACTCATATAAAGTTAAAATAAATTTCATAAAAAAAGTTAATACACATTAAATAAATATGACAACGAGAGTGAAAGAACGGGTTAGCAAAAGAGAGAGAGAAAGAACAAAGTATAAGCTAAAAAAATTTTTTTTAAATTAATTTTAATCAAAGGATAATAAAAAACAAAATTAAATAAATATAGAAATATAAATGAAGACTTTTAATCTTAAACAATAAAATAAATATTCAGATACGACTAATGAAAATTAAACAATATAAAAGCGGAGAATTAGGAGATGAAAATAATACTCCATTGAGTACAAGTCACTTGCAGATTGGCAGAAATCAATACACTAAATAAGAAACGAAAAACAAAGCTCAGAAACATTGATTCACAATTTTAAGATTAAATACGAAAGTTATAATATATATTAAATACATGTTGTTCCTCTGAGTATAAAATCGTGTCTGTTCGTCGTTTAAAATTAAATGTTATGGAGGATTTTTTGTTATTATATATATTCGCTAAGGAAAACTCCAAAATGAGTCGAAACGTTCGATAAAATAAATATAGATAACCATCAACACCTGAATTGATAATAAATTATGTACAATACGAAAATAAATTAAGTGAAACAAACCTCAATTGAGATAACGCAAATAAATAAAATAATGCCTTGTTGAGCCTGATACTGTATGTATCTATGTGTGGGGAATATAAATTATTCAATTAAATAATATATTTTAATCCAAACTTCGGATCCTTTTCACCATCAATATAAACTAAAGTTAGTCAAATATATTAATTTAACGAAATCATTATAATTCCTAATATAATGATCTTCGATAATATGCAAGAAATCGAGATGTTAACTATTCGAACATTGTAAATCATCTGTTGATAATATTTTATCTGTGCTTGGTGGAAATTTAAAGACTATTCCTCTACTTCTCGTCATGCTCTCTCCGTGTTGCCTACAAATAAATCCGCCCCCGCGTCTGCTGATGAAATGACGACGAGCAATAGTAGGTGGGGACGAATAAAATTTCTGCGGAGGTACGTCGACTTAGCCGATAAAATCCTCGTTGGAGCGTCTGCCCGCCAATCCCGTGCGCGTCTGATAGTTACGTCCAACACGCGTCTCGGCTCGCCATTGGCTACAAACCCGCCCAGGGGTTGGTATCGATCATCCCTCATACAAACCCAACGCTTTTCATATATAAAGCGGCTTCCCCAGGGACATCGTCAATAGTTCAAATCCGCGTATTCTCCGTACGGACACTTTTGTTTGGACAATCGATTAATTGTAGGTGGATTAATCGAGGTAAAAAAATTAACGCAAAATTTGTCACCAATCAGCATGTTATGAAAGGATTCCGAATTTTCTAAAAAAAGAAATTAAAGATATAGGAAAGAAGTTGAGTCACGTTTAATGATTGTTAGTTAATACACTACGTGAGATATAATTTGCGGGAATACCAACGACGAATGAGTTCGTGAAAACGTGCATTATGGCGAATCATCATCCCTCGTACGACTTTGAAGACAGAAGTCAAAGGATTCGCCATCGAGTCGGCACTGCGTCAAGACCTGCAGATTCCACTGTGGCTTGTACAAGGTATTATTTCTCTCATTTTCTCTTTTAATTGGTTAACATGTTGAATTTAAGAAATTCCAATCTTTATTCAACATATATAAATAACTACCTTTTATATAATTACGCATAACAAAGTGTAATGTTCTATTTATTCTACAATAAAATAATTTTTGGTTAAAAATGGATTAATCAGAACTTTCTGGTTAAATTTAGAATTTTATTCGAAGTAAACAGAATTCTAGCTGATGCAATACTTCCAGAAAAATTTATTAGAATTTTTATTTTTATCAGAATAATTGTAGCAATCAGAATTCTAATAGATTTAATTAGAAAATTCTGATTCGTTTATTTTACACCAGAATTACTATTTAATCCAATCAAACCGTTTTTCTCTCATAAATTCAATACTTCCAAGGAAGATATGATTATAATACCAATCGATTGCCTAAATGATATCTTTTACAGAATGTTACAAAAAGACTTATAAATTGAATTGTTATGTAAAAAGTTGAACATGTGGTAATAAGCGTGATAACCCAAATATTAATTTACAATTTCCAATGTTCATTTCGGTATAGGAAAGAGTTCCAAATGCGTATCACTTAAGCTATTTTTTATTATACTTTCCATTTGGTATTGATTTGAGCGCAAATAAATGTTGGAAATTGTAGGTTAATATTTGGATTATCTGCCTTAAAAGTATTGAATTTATGAATGAAAATAACTAAAAATACAAGAATAATAAAAGAAGTCATTGATTTATTATTTTTACGTTTCTAATTTTAACAATTATCGTCAAAAACCAAATACTTATTCTTTATTAAATACAATTACAATAATGAAATGTCAAGATATCAAAGTAAAACTCTTAAACTTATTTCGACAATTAACATTTATACTCATATCAATTATCAGTTTTATTATTGTCAATTATCAGCCTTATCTTGTGACGATATGATCTACGAAATTTAATAAGTATATAGATAAATATTATATGGTAAATATTATAAAAATATCAGTTTAATAATTATAATAATTG